CGCCCGGCAGCGCCGCCCCCTGCCCGCGCTGCTGGCGCTCTGCGCCCTGCTGGGCCCGCTGCAGGTAAGGAGCCGCGCCTGCCCGGGACGGGCGCCTTCTCCGGAGCTCAGGGGTGGACACCGGCTCGGGGGCCGCGACGCGTCCTAGTTCCTCTGCCTGCCGAGAAACCGAGCCGAAGCGGTGGGGTGCGGAGCCCGGGAATAACCCCTGGGGGAGGCGGTTAGAGTCGGACGGCGCTGGGAGGGAGAGGGCAGGTGGAGGGATGTTAGGGTGCAGAGGGGACAGGTTGACGGGACTCCGCTGCCCCGACACGGGCTCTTCCAAAAGCCCCACTTGCTCACAGACCTTGATGATACCGTATACTCTCCAGTCACTTCTTGATCCCCTTCTAAGACGGCGGTGGGGGTACAGCCCCCGACCCTTGCGAGCCGAGTCGCAGAAGCACCCGCGTTAGATAGGAGACACGGCTTCTCTCAGGTGGCCTCCTTTCCAAATTTCCACCCTAATTTCCTTGATTCCTGAACCAAAGAATTGTCTCCAGTGCAGAGCCCCTTTGGGGGGGCGTCCTGTCCCCACGCTTAGGGCCACCCGGCGGAGAAAGGGCTTAGGCGGGAGGTGGAGTGATCCTGGAAATGGAGTGGCTTCTCAAAAGAGATTTCTTTCGCAGACCACTAAGTACAGTTATCCAGTAATTAAAGCCAGGAACCAGTTTTCTGTGGTGCCGAAGAAGAGACGTATAGTGCAGCAAACGCGCACAGCAAATACTTTAAAAATCTTTATGCGCACTTAAAAGTTTCTCCTCAGGAAGGGTGAGTGTCGGTGGTTTTTTTGGTTTCAGCAGTATCAGTTTTTCCTTCTCTGTTAAAATTGGCTTAGGCTGCTCGTGCCTGTAACCCCAGCAGTCTGGGAGGGCACGGAGGGTAGATTGCTTGAGCTCCTAGGTTCGAGACCAGCCTGAGCAAGAGCGAGACCCCCGTCTTTAAGAAAATATCCGGGTATTGTGGCGGGCACCTGCAGTCCCGGCTATTTGGGAGGCTGAGGCAAGAGAATCACTTGAGTCCAAGAGTTTGAAGTTGTTGTGAACTATGACTCCAGGCACTCTACTAAGGGCCACTCAAAATGAGACTCAAAAAAAAAATAATTGGCTTAGGCTGCTAACTTCACTTGGTAACAGGGCACGGACCCAGGTGAAGACGTGGGGAGATGCACTTGGAGAACTCCCTCTGTTCGGGGTGAGAAGAGAGGGGGAAACCTTGACAAAAATAATGGGAGTTCACAGTAGGCTGACGCAGACAATTCTATTTTTTAGAATAAATCGATTGATGAAAAGATTCATTCCATTTCATTCTCAATTGTATAGGCCTCTCAGAATGGTTGAGGGAAAAGAAAGCAGAAAAACCTAATGGAATTTTTCATTTTAAGCACTTCAGGTGTTGCTTAATTAGGTGTTCAACAGGTTGAACAGGGTGCTACCTTATTTGAACTAAAGGACCAGGGTTTCAGTGAACAGCGAACCACCTAAGAAAAACCTGCCTGACCATGCAGTTTAAAAAATATCTCACATTGCTGCTGCAAAAACTACATTCGTGCATATGTGCACTGAATGCCTTGGCCTCTAAAATTAACAGCAAATGCCATGAAACACATTTGTTTTTCAGAGAGACCTTTCAACAAGTGCTGTCTCCCCTCCTTTTCCCTATAAGCTGTTTTTAATTACGTGCCTTTTAAAATCCCATCTAACGTTCTGCTTTGGTCAGTTCCAATTCTAAGGGGGCAAAAAATGGCTTCTGGGAACCCTCTGGTGTCACTGGTTGGGCTATGAATTAAATTGACATGAAACAGATTAACAGGAGAAAAAAGATAATTACAGACAGAGGCACATAGAATAGGAGACTCGATGGAGCTTATGCAGTATCCTGAACTACAGAAAGGAGCAGAGGCTTGGGGCTTCTGGGAGTGGTGGGAACCCATGGTATGGGCATTTAAGGGGAGGAAACATTTGAGTACAGATTGTTTTGTTAGGCAGGTAATGAAAGTCTCAGAGCTGCCCCCAGAAGAGGCAGTAACTGGACTACATGTCAACATCCAGCCTCCTCTCCTGTGATCCCAGTTAATCTTCTTTGGTGGGTAAGAGTCCCAGGGAAGGATTCTTGACTGTTAAGAATTCAGGTGTCGGCTTGGTGCCTATAGCTCAACCGGCTAAGGCGCCAGCCACGTACACCTAAGGTGGCGGGTTCGAATCCCCAGCCTGGACCCGCCAAACAACAATGACGGCTGCAACCAAAAAATAGCCGGGCGTTGTGGCGGGCGCCTGTGGTCCCAACTACTTGGGAGGCGGAGGCAGGAGACTCGCTTGAGCCCAGGAGTTGGAGGTTGCTGTGAGCTGTAATGCCACGGCACTTTACCCAGGGGGACAGCTTGAGGCTCTGTCTAAAAAAAAAAGAATTCAGGTGTCCTCAAACTACGGCCCGCTGAGGACATTTACCTGGCCTGGGTGTTTTTGCTGCCGCTGCCTGTCCTGCTTAGCTACCGACTCATCCTGGGGCCCGCAGTCCGGCCCTCCAGTGGTCTGAGGGACAGTGAACTGGCCCCCTGTTTAAAAAGTTTGAGGACCCCTGGTTAAGATTCTTGATTATTAAGTTCCTTTTGGAGGAGCTCAGAGAAAGCCTCTGCCTGCATCTGCTGCTATTCCCCAAGTGTCCTCAGTTCAAAGTTATCAGCATACCAAAGTGTTATACAAGTAATTTGAGGAGTAATTTGGGGTGGCATTTCCTGAACTCTTTAACAATCAAATGAGATCAGGTTGCTTTTCTGCATATTTTAATTTGTGCCCAACACCTAAGGGGAATTCATATTCCCTGCAAGGTCGGGCTAGGTGCAGTGTTAAAGTATCATCCCCCAAAGATACTGTGCTTACAAGCACTCTCTGTATTCAGTTGTGCTGCTTTGGCCAGGCTGTTGTCTTAGGAATTGAATTGGCAATCCGTTGATGTTGATAATGATTCAACACTGGGCAAGGCTTGAGGAACTGCTTAGTATGAGAATTGATTTTGCAAAGCGGTTGGCAAAAAAACGACTTCTAGAAATTGCTTTATCCACCCAGTAATGTAGTTAGTTCCATTTGCATTATGTTAAATAGATTCAGACTCACCTGGAAGATTATTAGTTTAGTCTTTTAAAACATTTGTCTGATTACATCTTTGCCTTCCTGTAGTTGTGAGAGAATTTGGTTTGGGGTCATAATAAGAGAATTTGCCTACAGATCAAAGTGTTTTGAGTTTTTAGGTTGATAGTCCTGCTGTTTAGTCCAAGTAAGAAAATACAGAAGCTCACATTGTTTTTATTAAGGTAACTGATGATACACAGCCACATTTGTCCCATGTTATCTAAGACCAAAGGACACGCACATTCATTCCCAGGACAGCGAATATTTACAGTGTGTAGGACATGGTACCAGAGAGGAGCAAGACGAAGGCTTGTGTGTGTTCACAGGTCACAGTCTAGCAGAGAGGGCGAGGGGTAAAGTGTAGTAATATTGATAAAGCAACATGAGAAGACAAGGGCAGAGGGTGGCGGAGAAAGGAGGCAGGGAGTTGGAATGAAACCAGGAAGGACTTTGGGAGGAAGAGGCCTCTGAAATGAACTTGGAAGGATGGGCAGGAAACCAAGGGTCAGAGAAGAAATAATTCCCAGACATGGGTGAGCTTTCTAGGTTGACAGCATGGTATAAAGTGGTTTAGGTGGAAAGAATCCTGGCAGGAAAATGCACACACACATATTTTTATGACCTTAGAGATAGCATGAAGCATTTAATTTAGGAAACCCCACCAAGCAGATGGGGCACTGAACTTTTATAGTTTTGAGATAACTCTTGCATAACCCTTATTGAGGTGATAAATTGGACTAATCAGAACAGAGAGGCATGGGGCCCTGGGCAGGCTGTAGGGAGACCCCCCCCCAAGAGGAAATCCCCTAGGTGGGGCTCAGGCCTGTAGGACAGGTGGGTGCTCTGCACCATCTGTCTTCCTGCCCCCCCCCCATCCTGGGGGGAGACCTGGGCATATAAATCAATACCTTGTGTGGAGGACACACGCACACAGACCTGTGGGCTTGTACTGCATTTTGTTAGTAAATATTTCAAATGCCTCCCCTGTTATTTCCTGTCCACCATTTCCCCCATAATGGCAAATCTGTAATACAAACAGACTTCAGTGTGTTGATAAGGAAATAGGAGTTTGTTTTTTCAGTTATCTACCAGAAATTCTTACACCAGGAAAACTGAAACAATAAAATGTGTCTCTGACAGTTAATATAAATCAGTGTTTTATGAGGACATGAGAAGGGGAGTTCCAAGCCAGGGCCTCCTTTGCAGAGAGTATTGTTCTAAGAAGGTGTAGTACGCACTTTATCTGCCTTGTCAGTATTAAAATTTCCTCCATTGCATTTTCCTATTTTTGAAGTGCATGGAAAAAAAAATAGTGTTTTTTCCATATGGTATGTCCAGTGGACTCCGGGAATGTTGTTTGGGCTGTTTTTTGTTTGTTTGGTTTTTGGTTTTTTGAGATGAGTCTGCATCCCACCCTAATGGCTCTCCTCTGTCCAAGTGGGTCACTTCCCAGGGCATCTACTACCAGCCAGGGTGGCCCTCGACCTGTCAGCCATCTCCCTGGGGTATCCTGGCCCCAGTCCACAAGGGAAGCACACCTACCTCTGAGCACACGGGGCCCCTGACTCCACCTCTGCCATCCCAGGACTGGCATGTGTAGGCTTCTGCCCAGCAGCTGACTTTTCTTCCACGCACCTTTCCGTTCTCCACCTGGCAAAGCTCATTGCAAAGCGTGGGCTTTCTTTAGTCTCCATGACTGGAAGGACGGTTTAAGTTCAACTCATCTCTTCTGCCCCCTAAGCACTCAGCTCGAAGAAACCAAGAGGGAGCAGTGGGGTTTCGCAAAACAGACATGGCCCCTCTGAAGCTGTTGCTGAGCTTTTGAGGCTTACAGCTGAGTGGGTGTTGAGCAAGATTACGCACAGCCCCATATCTTCTGTCCTGATTCTGAGAGATG